AAATGACAAAGAGACTGGATAGAGATACTTCAAGAAAACTAAGTTTCCAAATTCCAAGAGAGAAAATGGCATAACAAGAAGAGAGATAAAAGTAAGATAAAGTGTTGCAACTTTTAGCACTTGTTCTTCTTGTATAAGATTTCTTTTCGGCCGTAATATTGTCAAGAGTACACTAGACTGACACATATGATGGTTTATTTGTGCTAAATAGTCATTATTCCATGTATGACTATTATGTGGGTTAATGAATCATGGCATATTAGATTGGGCCACATTTGATAAGATCGGATGAATAGATTGGCTAAGGAAGGATATTTAGGTTTCTTCTCCAGAATAGACATGCCAATTATTTAATATTATCTTATCGGAAAGATTACACATAAACAATCAGGGAAGACTGAGAAAATTAACTTTCCATTGCAATTAATCTATTCAGATATTTGTGATCCAATGAATGTGAGGGCTAGGTCTGGTGCTTTATATTTTATTATGTTCATTGATGATTTCATGCGCTTTGATTATGTCTATTTGATTTCTCATAATTATGAAGCTCTTGAATGCTTTAAGAAATATTTGAATGAAGTTGAGAATCAATTAGACAAAAGGATTAAGACCTTAAGAACCAATATAGGGTGTGAATATCTATCAAATAATTTGAAGAATTGTGTAATCAAAAGGGCATCACCAGACAGTTAACTATTCCTTACACATCTCAACAAAATAGTGTAGTAGAAAGGATGAATAGAACACTATTGGACATGATAAGGTCCATGACAGCACATGCAAATTTACCTATTTCCTTTTAGGGAGATGCGTTATTGACTGCAGCCTACATATTGAACAAAGTGCCTTCTAAATCAGTTTCTTCCGCTCCTTATGAGCTTTGACTGGTCAGAAACAAAGCTTAAATAATTTACGACCTTAGGGTTGCGTTGCATATGTAAAAGATTCTTTTAGCAAATTTGGTAAATTAGGTCCAAAAGGCAAAAAAATGTATCTTTTTAAGATATTCAGAACACTCCAAAGGGTATGCATTCATTGGTGAATTAGAGGATGAAAATGTTATTGATATTGAATCACGAGATGTCACATTTCTGGAAAATAATTTCTCAAAGAAGGGCGGGGTAAAGAATGGAGAGCCACTTTATAAAATATTCAACTCATACAGTCAGCAAATGTCTTTTGACACGGTTGATGATTAAAGTAATCAAGATCTTGTTCTTGATTCGAGTGGGAGTGGAAATTTTCAATCCCAAAATGCTTCTGACGACTCTGAATTTCAACTATGAAGAAGTACCAGGAAAGATATACCCAAACATACTTATGAGATTGAAGATTACTTTTTTTGGTATCTCCTACAAAAATGGATGAGACAAAGTGTGTGACTGAATCTTTATCGATCCCTGAAAAGATGTGTGGATGAAAACAGTGAAAGAAAAATTAGAGTCTATGAAAACAAATAAATTCTAGATCTAGTTGACTTCCGCATGGGCGTAGAGCTATTGGGAACAAATGGGTTCTCAAAGTTAAACGCAAAGCGGATGGGTCAATAGAAAGATATAAGCACAATTGGTGGCAAAAAGCTTTAATTAAGGAGTTGGAATAGATTATGAAGAAACATATTCACCAGTTGTGAAATTTATCTCAATTCGCTTACTTTTGGCTATTTTTTCACATTTGGATTTGGAATTACACCAAATGGATGTGAAGACAACTTTTATAAATGGAGAACAAAATGAGAAAATCTATATGGAACAACCTGTAGGTTTCATTATTAAAGGCCAAGAAAAGAAGGTTTGTAAATTGAAAAGATCTATTTATAGCCTGAAGCAATCTTCAAGGAAATGGTATTTGAGATTCACAATGAGGTGTAGGGGTGTGCGTTGGATTTATCGATTCGATTTTGACCCTTATCGATAATTACTTATCGATTATCGATTTGCACATATGCTTATCGTTATCGTTTCAATAAAGTTTCGATTTTTTCGATTTCGATTTATCGATTTTCGGGGCTTATCGATTCGGTTATCGATTCCACCAATAAGAAAATTTGCGGGATTCCACGAAAAGTATATCGCTATGATGACTACAGAAGAATATGCAAATAAAGAAAAATAACCGTTTCTACCTCAAAGAAAAAAGGGTACCTGACTAAACTTGCATCATGAAATTATTCCTCACCTAAATATACATAGCAAAAACCAGAAAACGAACACCATTTCGAGGGCCATAAGCACCATTGCGTCTCAATTGATGTCACGGAAACTATAGTTTTGGAACAATTCTCTCTTTCAAATATTATAACCCAACTAAAAGTCAACGCTAACTAAGTTCCCGTTCTAAGCTACAGACCTTCAATTTTAAATTCTCATCCAGTATCTTTATCATTGTAGCAAATCTCGAACACATAGTAATTTAACAAAACCAATATCTAGGAAGATCAGATCAACAAATAAATCAAAAGTTTTTCCATAAAAAAATAATTGATCACAACACAAAATTGCCGGAAAGTAGTATACTTAACGACAAGAACTTACGTGTAGGTGTCGATGATGGGGGAAAGCAAGAGAGTAGCACTGATCCAATTCTCTGAAACTTTGTGATGGATTTTACCAAAAGTGGCGCTGAAGAATGGGTAGAGGAAATAATAGGGTTAGGGACTTAGGGTAAAGGAAAGGGTATTATTAAAAAAGGGTATATTTATCTTTTTAGTATATCTTATCGGTTTATCGATAAACCGATAACCGAAGAGGAAAAAATCAAAATCGAAATCGATAACTCGATAAGGAAAATTTCGAAATCGAAATCGATAAATCGATAAACGGATAACAAATAATCGATTCGATTTATCGATAAACCGATTCGAATGCACACCCCTAGTGAGGTGATCTCGTATAATTTTACCATGATCAATGAAGACCATTGCATTTATGTGAAGAATGCCAATGGGATGTTTGTAGTTCTTTCTCTTTACGTGGACGATATTTTTGGCTGGAAATAACTTGAAGTATTTGAAAACTATCAAGTCAAGACTTTCAAAGTCATTTGACATGAAAAATATGGGTGAGACAGATTATATCCTCGGAGTTAAGATCCAAAGAGACCATTCCAAAAAGTTATTGAGTCTCTCTCAATAAACTTGTATAAAGAAAATTTTGGAACGCTTGTGAATGAATAATTGCAAACTCATGGATACTCCTATAGCGAGAGGTGAAACCTTTAAGCTTTGAAATGTGTCCAAAATACTGAAAATTAAAAGGAAGACATATCTTGAGTTTTATATTCAAGTGATGTAGGGCACTTAATGTACGCTATGATGTGTACCCAAATATTTACTATGCCATAGGTTTATTAGAAGGTATCAATCCAATCCTCGAATAGATCATTGGTAAGAAATGATGAGGATCTTCCGATACCTAAAGGAAATTGTAGATTATTCGTTATGTTATAGTGGAAATAATTTACTCTTGAGAGAGTATACGATGTGAGAGACAACATGGCAAGTAAATAAATAATATTACAATACATACCTACGTAAAAATGATAGTTGATCCTCTTACAAAATTAATATTTAAGACATGTTTGAGAAATATTTTGTGGCTCTAGGTTTGAGAATGATATGATAATGTTTATGTATTGTAAAATATTTTGGTTATAATAATATACTCATCAATGAATTGTTATTGAAATTGTGTTCATATTCTGAATGCACGTGATAATATCCATGTGAAGTATATAAGTGTGTCGAACAAGTCACGAGATCAGCTCTCTCACACGGGCAATTGCCTCTGACGTTGAGGAACGTGCAGAGATGAGACTATTAGAACCTTGATTAGCGCAAAGTCATATATATTTTTTAATAAAATGGCCGGTCTTGACTAGAGTTCAGACATATGGATTTCATAATCCTTAACAACTTGTTTTATAAGCCAGATAAGAGTTTCTCTAAGAAATTGGAATTGAGTATAGCTGAAGTGAGAAACTTGGGTTAGACATTTAGAGGTGTTTAGACCAAGATCTGTACGGTGCTGAATGAGTAAAAGAATGAGACACACACACTAATATCAAGTGAGAACATCGTAGCACGTGTTTCATACCATACGACCATTGGGATAATGGAAGAATGGATCCCTGCTTCTTCATTTTGTGAGATCCCAAAAAGGTTACATTAACTTTTAATGGAAATACCCTTTGACCTTTTACTGTCTCTTGAAGTACCTATCGGTGTTGCTACTTTAGCATGTCAGTAATAGCCATGAGGGATTCGGCAATGCAGTGCATGTCTAGGAAAGCAATTGATTTGGAATTGATAGATTCGAGGGAAGACAACTAAAATAAGTATTTAACTTGTATCCACAGGTCGACCATTTATCAAGCGTAATTATGGGTACGATGTTATATATATGAACTTGATTTCAGCTCTTTCGAGGATGAAGGATCAGATAACTAGCTATTGGAGTAGCAAATGATAGTCTAGGATATTGCGAGCAACAAGATCCTCATGTAGTACTGAATCCTTTCCGCATGTGATTGGATTTCTACGTAGAACTTTTGTACGACCTTAATGGGTTTGGATTATTATAGCTCTTGAGACTCACAGGTCGCACGAACTATGTCTCTATGAATACGTGTGTTGTCAGTATGATACTTGCTTGGGTCTAGCCCACCATGAGCGAAGTGGGAGATGTTGGAATATTGGGTTTGGGTCGCTCCATGTGGGTTCATCCGACCCGGTTAGAAAGAAAAAGTAAAAGAAGTTAGATGGGAGTCACAATACCAAAAAACTACCACATAGAAGCAGTACGCTTAAATGAGGAATTAGATTCCACAACTTGGTAACTTCTCTTTCAACCGTCTTCTTCCTTTTCTTCTTCAACAGAGAACAAATACTCTGTGATTTTTCCATCAAAAACACACAAGAGAGGAAAGACATCTTGTTCGTGGATATAAACTTCTGTTCCTAGTGAATTGAAGTTCGACTTGGGGCAACTTTTTGGGGATGAGTTCAACAATTCATCCGGTGTATATAAAAAGGTACACAACTTATTGTTCTCGCCCCTCGGTTTAATCTAACAAGAATGATACAAAGTAAAACAGAAGTGAGAAACCAAATTTGACGATCAAGTGCATAAGATGAGCACAAGATAGATAGGGCACAGCAACGAATGTTCAAATATAATAATTAACAACATGAATCATCCTGATCTCTCTGATGCATGTGATAAACCTAAAAATTGAATACACAGTGCACGTATTTGTCGTCTCTACCCATCATGTAGTGTCCGATTTCATCCTGCAAAACAGGAAATGCTACGTCTTAATCACAAAATACCCTTTGGCCAAAATTGGTGGTAATCCAAGTACTTAGAAGGATAGAAAAAGAAAACTTAATGCCTGCAGTTTCTCATGCAGTTGCAGATTGTCATACTAATAATATAATCTACTTTTCTGTTAAGTAGTATTATATTGGCATGAAGTCTGTGAAGGTACAGATTAAGCTGGTAGCTGCATTAGTAATTTTGTGTACATATATGCTTGATAATCTGTGAGAATAACCAGTTATTAAGTGAAAAGGGAAATTATATCAAACACTTGAAGAAAGAAACTTTGAGACGTACGCTGCAAATTCCTCGTCTGGTGATCAAAAAGTTCTCACCCAACATTTCTTTAAACCATTCATCAGAGAATATATGGATTATAGAGCATCTAAGAGAAGCTGGTACTCTGTTATCATCATTGTCATCATTGTGATCGAAGACATCAGCTTCTGGCTCTGTTACAAACGAAAACAGAAGTTGAATATCAGATAAAAAGTGCACGAATGTCTCACCTATGGAAAGAGAAAATGAGTTATCTACTTTTATATAACCTGCTTCAGATAGCTAAATATTTAATTAGACTTGTTTTGGTGATCACATAGAATTAATACAATGACACTAAGGTATAAATTCACATGGTTTCCGCTTTCAAATCTCATCTGCTTTAAATTAGAAGGCATGTACACAAATACATCCTGAGTACCGAAAGACAGCAATAATGGTAGACAATACTTACTGGAAGATCATCTAGCTTACCTACTGGATCTGGAATTGGTAAATTTCTGCGCAAGCCGTCGATCCCAGCAATAATTATACAGGCAAGACCAAGGTGAGGGTTTGCAGATCCATCAAATGTTTTAATTTCAAAATTGGTTACTACACCATCTGGAGCTCCAGGAGGGCAACAAGCTCTTATAGTTAACTCTTTGCATTCCACACCCCAGCAAAGGTATGATGAATTCCACGACTTAGGCATTAAGCGCTCATAACTGTACATAATTAACATATTTAGATTCATTCAAATAAAGAGATTATAATTTTCAATTATCTCTACCTAGTTAAGTCCAATCGCACAAACAAAATTTGTTGATTTACTGCTGGATAGACCAGACTGAGTTCAAGCAAAACAGGAGATGTTAAGGGCTAACAACGATTAAAAAAGGAAAGATGGAAAGGGAAGATTCGTCAGCTCATCCCATCTTATTTGGGATTAAAATGCAGTGGATTGATAGGTGACGAAATATTTTGGGGGGGG